TGGCTTGTTCCGCCTCTCAGGCCCCACCGGGAGCGGGAGCCTGAGCCGCGAAGAGGCGCCAGAGAGTGAGGGGGGGGGGGGGGGGGGGGGGGGTTGTCCCCCCCGCCCCGGGGGGGCTTTGGGGGGGACATTTTGGGGGGGGGGGGGTGGTGGGGGGGGGGGGGGGGGGGGGGGGGGGGGGAGCAAAGGGCACCAGGGTCGGGGGGGGGGGAGGACACGGCGAGGGGGAACCCCATCTGGATCACTTTCGATTGCCTTTGTTTCCCGCGCTTTTGCCTTGTCCCCTTGCCTCTGCGTCTCTGTGCTCACACACCCATACACACCCCTCGGGCACTTGTGCGCGGGTTCCGTGGCAACACCCAGGAGTGACGAGCTGCCCCAGCGGATTTATGCCAACACACAGTCCCCGCGTGGCACCGGCCACTGGCTGATGCTCCATAGCTCGAGGACGCGCAACATCCTGGTGGCCCCTCCGCAGATGCTGACCCCCTCGCCGGTGGTCGACCCGCAGGCCGGCTCCCGGTCTTCCTCCAGCGGCCGGAACAGCGGCAGCAGCTTCATTGCCGAGTTCGACGGTGCGTCATCCCTTTCCGCCCTCCTCCCCCGTGGCCGGGTGTGGGGCGCTCCTTCCCTCTGCATTTCTCTCTCTCTCTCTCTCTCCCCCCCCCCTCCCCCCGGCACTCTGCTACATGCACATCTGCCAGAGGAGGCCCCTTGCGCAAGAGCTGACCCCCTGCTTGCCCTTTCTTCTTTTGGTGGCCCTCTCCATCAGACGAAATCATGGCCCTCTTCAACCAGCATCTCTTCCAGGTGTTCCTCTTTTGAGGCGTTCTCCCGCTGAGTGTTCGCACCCGCCCTGCCCCCCCCATCCGGCATGACTTGCCCTTGGTCAAAAATATACTCTTGGTATCATCACCGGCGCGTGGAGGCGCGCCCCGGGCGGACATATCGCAAAAAGAGTCCGGCCAGGGAGGCGCGGACAGAGAAGGGGTCCACGGGTCAAGCGATCGGCGTGAATTAGTTATGGCCCCGGTGTTACGGGGGGGGGGGGGGGGGGGGGGGGGGGGCCTCTCCCCTTAGACGGTCCTTCTTTTTTTTCTTGTCAGATCGCCCCGATCACGACCCCCCCCCCCGCGTTCTGGGGTCCAGCATTTTCGAGGCACGACCAGAGAGGACGCGAAGGCCATACGCACCGACGACAGACAGCCGGCCCATCGGCTGGCGCCCGGGTTGCGAGTGGGTGTGCGCGCGGCCCCCGGGCACGAAGAGCGGGGGCGGGCACAGGACCGCCGGATCACGTGGATCTTGCGTTGCCGCGATCGGCGCCTTTCCTGTTCGGGGGAGGGCCGGCCGCAGGAGAGCGAGAGAGGGGAGGCGACCCGGGGCAGAGGGCCACACCGAAGACAGGGGATGGCGCGTGGCCCGCCTGGGTCCCGGGCAGATGGCCAACGCCTATCCTTGTCCCCCTCTCCTCCGCTCCCTCCCCCCCCCCCCTTTCCCGCCCGCCTCCCTCCCTCGGCTTCCCTCGGCTTCCCTCTTTCTCTCTCTCTCTCTCTCTCTCCCTCTCTCCCCCCCCCCTCCCGTCGTGTGGTCCCTCCGCGAGGCCATCGTCCCCCTGTCTTCTCCTCCTCCCTCCCCTGGCCGGTCTGCCCGGCTCACCGGCACCCCCCTGACGCCCTCCCGGCCCCCCCTTCGCGGCACTCCCTCCGAATCCCGGCCCCCGGGACCGGTTCCATCAAACCGGGCGCCCGATCGCACGCGCGTACGCGACCCCCCGGAGACCATCGTCCCCGACACGCCGGTCCTCCCTCCGACTGGGGGTCGCGCTGGCCGATCGGATCGCCCCCGGTCCCGGTCGCCGGTCCGGCCGCACCCCTCCTCCCCTCATGGGGGCGAGGCCGCCCGCCGGGGCGGTCCGTCCCGGGGCGCCCTCCGCGTTGGGGTGCTGCCCTACTTCCGGGCCGATCGGCCGAGCGCGCCATCTGCCATCCATCCCTCCGCCGTACTGGCCATTCCCCTCTTCGTGAGGAAGGTCCTCCGTGAGGAGGTGCTTCCCCTGGCCGGGCGGGATCTGCCCACCTTCGATGAGGTCGAGAAGCAGCTGGCGTATGTTGTCACGGCTTTCGCCCTGGTTGGGCGCCTTCTTCACCTGCTGACTCCTGGCCCCCGGGCAATTTCTCCATCCCGCCCCCCTCTTCTTCTGTCTTGCTCCATCTCTCCGGCCTTTGCCCCTCTTTTCTGACCCTCATCAACTCCCCCCCCCCTCCCCCTCGGTCTTGCGCTTGTGCTTCCCCTGTTTTTGTTGGCCCTCCCTTGCCCTGCCTCTAGCGCTCTGATCAATCTGCTCAAGCCCATGCTGGCGGCCTCCTTCGAGGTGGCCGACATCCGGTCTCTCCAGCTTGACGCCCTGTTGCTGGACCTGGTCCAGAAGCCCATTCAGCAGGCTCTCCATGAAGCCGACGCCTCGGTGGCCAGTCGTGCGCAGGCCAAGAAGTGGGTCGCTGCCTTGGCTCAGCTGTCTGGGCACCTCCCTGCCTATAACCAGACCTTCCGTGAAGTTATTGTCTTGGCAACCGGCGGCGGTGCCATCGAGCTGGGCTTCCCCTGGGCACTCTTCGAGCTCCTCCTTCAGTGCGTCCTCGCCCTCGACGCTATCTACCTGTGTCCCACCCTCTGTTCGCTCTGACCTCTCCATCCCATCCATCCTTCGTACTCACATGCACACACACACACACACACACACACACACACACATGCAGCACCATGATCCTCCCCTTTACTTTCCTCACGGTCATCCAGGCCACCATTTCGATGGTCCTGCCAGCGGTGCTGGCCGGCACAGGGCCCGGCCTGGTCGATGGCCCCCTTCCCCGGGTAATGCAATCCCTGTTCCATCTGCAATCCGAAGCCGGTTCGTGGCCTTCTCCGCCCCCCTCCCCCCCCCTGTCCCCCATGGGTCCCTGCCTAGCTTGGACCCCTCTTCCGTTGTGCTCTTCCCCCTGGCGCCCTGACACTCCATTTAGACCAGCAAATCCGAGCGCTTTTCGCCTCGGTGTCAAGCATGCTCAAAGACCCGACGGCTGTCCCCCTGCCCAAGGCCGTCCGGCCCTTCTTGGACGCCGAGCATCATCAATCTCTCCGCGTGTCAGCCAGCATGTTGGCCGCGGTCTTCGCCGCTGCACCGCCCGACAACGGTATGTCCCTCCTGGGGGAGCGGGCTCCCTACTTTGGCGACCTCTGGCATCTTGTCGCTCGGCCGTCCGGTCCCTCCTACTCACCTCCCCCCCCCCCCCCCCGCCTTGCCCTCCTGCAGCGGTCCCTATCGCACGTCTGGTGCGGTCGATCTTCCGCCTGAAGGACAGCATGTGGAAGTCCTTCCTGCAGCCGACGGTCAACAGCGATTTCGTCGGGCTCTCCGAAGTGGCCCTCATGATTTTGATCGCTTCGCGCAGGGCCCCTCCCCCGGATGAGGCGGCCACCCGGGATGAGCAGCTCCCCCGCTTCTTTGCCAATCTCCTGCAGGAGTTTGCCCGTCGCACTTTGGCCATTTGTGAGTCGCAAACCGCTCGCGGGGCGTCCTGCTCGTTGGACGCCTACATTTTCGGGGAGATTGCTGCTCATGCTTTGCCGCTGGACGAGGGGTGCGTGTGTCCCGGCTGCCGCGGCCGATGTTGCCAATGGCTGCGGCCAATGAAATGCCCTGTTCCTGGCCCTCGCTGACATTGTTCCCGCCCGTGTGCCCGCCGCGCCAGTGCCGCGTACGACCGCGCAGCCGCCCTCACCACGCCCATTGACTTCCTGCCCCGCTGGGTGTGGAGTCAGTCAACCTCGGCCACACTTTCGCCGTTCGACAAGATTCGCACGACGCTCTTCCGATCTGCCCTCACCACGCCCATTGACTTCCTGCCCCGCTGGGTGTGGAGTCAGTCAACCTCGGCCACACTTTCGCCGTTCGACAAGATTCGCGGGGTCATGAATCGACGCCTGCAGGCACAGTCGGCGCACCTGCAGCCGGCCCGCCGGGTGGCCCTCCTTCTGGCGGCTCCGTCCGGCCCTCGGCCGGCCTGGCTTCTGTCCTTCCTGATGTCCGGTCACCTGGCGGCCACCGTGGCCTCCTGCCTGGCTTTCATCGATCTGGGCCACCTGCTGCTGGCCTATTCGGCCTCTCTGGATGCGGTGCTCAACTCCTTCAGCAATGTCGCCACCTCGAGCCTGGCCGAGGAGCTGCTCGCCCGGTAGATCGGAAGAGCACACGTGGCTTCTGTCCTTCCTGATGTCCGGTCACCTGGCGGCCACCGTGGCCTCCTGCCTGGCTTTCATCGATCTGGGCCACCTGCTGCTGGCCTATTCGGCCTCTCTGGATGCGGTGCTCAACTCCTTCAGCAATGTCGCCACCTCGAGCCTGGCCGAGGAGCTGCTCGCCCGGTCGGTGGACCTGGTGGTGGAGTTGGCCCAGGTGGCCAGCGTTTTGAGCCTCAATCTGCCGGCCATTCGCCTGTGGCTGCGGTCGGCCGAGGCTGGCCGGATTGCCCCGCCCCCACGGTGGACTCCCTTCGCGCGGTCGATTTTCCGCGCGGTCCTCGGGGCCGGGCCCCTCTCGGATCGGCCATACTCGCGGCTGCTGACCCGGTGTTGCGCCGGCTCGTGTGACCGCGGGGCCGAGCTCCTGGCCGCCGAGGGTGGCCCTCCCTGCTGGCCAGGTCTGGGCCGACTGCTTCGTGCGGCGGCCGACACCGCCGGCCAGGTGGATGACCTGCTTTATCGGCTGGCCGGCCGGCCGGTCCGGGACCTGGGCCGGCCGGCTGATGCCCTGCCGCTGGAGGACTTGCTGCTTGGCCTGTGCCCGGGGGTGTCGAAGCTCGCGCAGTCGGAGGAGCCCCCCATGGTGAGCCCCTTCCTGGCGGCCGGCCTGGGGCTGGCCTTCCTGGGGAGTCTCCGTCAGCAGGAACTCCCTCGGTCTCAGGCGCCGGATCGCCTGGCCGCCCCGCCGCCCGGTAGTCTTCTTCATGGGCTGACGGCGGCTCTGCCCCTGGAGGCGCCATCCGACCGGCCGATAGCGCCGCCGGCCGTGTGGCGGTGCTTCCCGCTGGCCTTCCTCCAGTCGTCGATGGTGCCGCTGCACTTGGCTGCGCCGCTTGGCTGCGGAGGGGACCCGGGCGGCCGAACGGTCGAAGTGACTGCCAGCATGACGGCCATTGCTCCCAGTCAGGCCACCGACCTGGGCCTGCTGGCCGCGTGCCAGGTGTCGCTGTTGGCTGAGCTCCGCGAGCGCCTGGCCCAGGCATCGCAGCTGGTGGCGGATCGCCTGCCGCAGGTGTGCTCCGGGCCCGAGGCCGGTCCCCTGGCCGAGGCCACAACGAAGATCACCCTGCCCACTGGTCCGCCGGCGCGCCCGCCAAAGGCTGCCTCTGCGGTGGTCCTGGAAAACCGGCAGATTCTCCAGGCATTGTGCAGCAATCCCACCGATGCAGGAGCATCCGCCTGCCCGTCCACCCCTGGCGGCCAAATGTCACCACCTGCCGCACACCACTCCCTCGCCCAGTCATCGGCCGCCCCATCGATTCCGGCCAATGCACGGCTTAATCTTCACGGCCGAACACTTGTCGTAGCCGACACCAATATTCTCCTCCAGTCGGCGCAGGCCGTCTGGCGAATGCTGTCGCTCAAATCCTTCATCCTGCTGGTTCCCTCGCTGGGTACGTCCGGGATGGCATGCACACGTGGGCCAGGGGCGGGTGTCCTTTTTCTTGTCCCTTCCCCCCCCCCCTTCTCCGCCCCTCTCTCCCGGCTGTGGCTCCCCGC